GAGCTTGTTTAATTCATCGGTGATATTGAGACGAAGCTCAGGGTTTTGGATGTATTGAGGTAGACGTTGAATATTCTCGGAGTTTTCGAGTTTCAGATTTTCCATTTCTTGACTGTTAATTTTGATTTGTCTTCGGATGAGTTCTTTTCTATACGTAATGGTTATATTTTCTTCTCTCGCTGCCGGGTCATGAGTTCGAATATTAGTGTAGTTAGGACTACACTAACAATAAAAATTGTATACTAACCAAACTAAACCATATCAAAAACTTCGTTCTAATATAAAACGAACTGACCAGGAAAATATTGAAGATGCGTCGTTTCAAATTTCTCCAAGATCTGTTCAGAACTGATCTGATAATTTCTGGAAACGCACACAAAACACTCGATAATTCTGCCAAACTGTGTGGACGATATATCGAAAACTAATTCACTGCAATATTCTGCTACCAATTGATGCCCATTCCGTTCGCATACCTCGACTATCTTGCTTCCATTGTCCGTCCGGAAAAGCCGTTGGTGGAGCAATTCCATTGTGCTTAAGAATGCTATGGAGTTCTTACAACATCGTTATGATCATCTTGCAAACTTGCTCAGAAAAGTCAGCTTGCAAAGACCTTTTACCTACATGAAAACTTTCAAGAGCGTTTCGAGAAATCGAGGAGCCGTACAATACTAAATATTACGAGAGTTCGTGTCTTTATTTAATCATCGGCAGCTCCTGAAGCTGAACCCACCAGTCACAGGTGAAAAATCTCCCAGTATATGAACTTTGACGAATTTCGAGAACATGGCCCACTGGATTCGACGCGTTCTAAGTATTTCGACAATGCGTCACATAAACGGCCACGAGACCTCAATGAAAACAGAGGGACGTCTGGGCTATAGCGGTTTCACTCCAAGTTGGTCGTGGTCGACAACTTATGGTCACATTTGAGATCAATACTTTCAATCAAGTGAACATGGTCCACACAAAATTTGGTCCACATGGTCCACTTTAGTAATCTGCATATAATTGTTAGAATTTATAACCAAAAAATAAGTGCATCAAAGAGATAACAGAAAATATCCAACTAACGTTGCGTGAGAAGCTTCATGTATCAAGGCATTTTTTCAATTTTGTATCGGCTCCAACAATTCTATGCGTCATCAATTCCATGAAGGTTTTGGACTACAAAGTTCGCTGAACTGCTGAGAAGGTCCGTGCAGACACTGCGAGGCCGCTGGCCCAATGCTGTATATTGGCTGCGTTATCAGGTTGCCAGCAGGACCATAGTTGCATACGAAAATTTGACATTTTTCTCTAAAGGCTGGAGCGTTATTTACGAACTCCACGCACGGGCCGAAAGTAACTTGTCCGCAACCGATTTCGTACGTTGAGGCCCACAGCATCTGGGAGAAGAATGAAGATAATATTACTGATTAAAAGTATTAGAATTTTTTGGCCCCTCCGGATATTGCATGATATCTGTTATCCGAATTAGTCTCTTAAACACCCTTGATGCAGGCATGAAAAATGACGCTCTAAAGTGGTCGCTTGAGCTTAGGTTAAGGCTGTGAGATGCACAATTGCCACTTTAAATTTATCTCCACAGCTGCTACAAGCCAACTTTGAAGATACGAGTGTCTTCTAAAGTCGGTACATCCTCAAGTTTCTGTTGGTTCAAGTCAGTTGCGATGCCATTATCTCCGCTGAACTGACTACTAGTCCGTACACGTCTGCGGGTGCATACTACACTTTGTGCGACTACACAAATATAACGCAGCGCCTATACCCACCTGGGTGTAGTGTCCAATAGTCTGGTTCTGCGAGACGGGAGTGAAAGAGCGGACGATATTTTCGTCGACGTGCGCAACTTCGCTGTACCAACTGTCAATAACGATGCCCCATTCTCTCGCCTGCAAGTCAAAATTAATTAGGGACCAGACATAGGAACTATACATTACCACCTGTTCTCCAGGTTCACAAAAACCACAAAAATTTCGGTCGTTTAGAAAATTCTGTTATGGCGAATATGTGGACAAGGATTCTATGAGAAAATAATCATAGTCTTCGCTACGTAGTTTTCTGTAGGTTTTCGATAATTTTACTTTAATTCACCAGTAAATTAATAACGGTAAAGAAACCAGACAGTAGATAAAAAGCCAGAAATAAACAAAACCGTACGAATGTAATATTAGTTCAATTCAAAGCGCGTCATAATACCGCGTTCATTCTGTTGGAGTGGGAATGACGCGATGACACAGCAAGGAGTTGATGCACGTTCTGACCCGTGAAGGTGTAAGGCCTCGTGATGGGTGCACGACATTCATAACAGTCGCTCAACAGCTGACACTGGAATGCCCACGCCTGCGGAATATTACGGGTTGCTAATCCATGGGTAGCTGAAAAGCACTTGCCCCCAATAGCTGGTCAATAATGGGTCCGCAATCAAGGGCACAATGATAGGGAAACTCGATTCTTATTCTGCAGTTCATCTAATGCTGGGCACGAGAGCGTTCAAGACTTTTAAGTATTATTTACAAACTTTGGACGTTATGTGGACAAAAATTGAAGCTGTTAAAGAAGAAAGCTATGAAAAATGTCACGAGTCCAAACCGGTTACGAAGACCTGGGTACCTCAAGTAGTTACGAATTCATAACCGTTAGCTCGCTAATCTATGGCCGCTTCCAGGCAAAACCCAACGATATTGTACGAGAAATTAGCTGCTGCTACGTGTACGAAGTATGGAAAATGCTGGCCCTTCAAGAGAATTTCTGTTAACTATTGAGAAATGCACTTTACGGAAGCTTTAAAACTGTTCACCTGAGCTATCCTGGCCAACTCCTCATTCCAGGACAACTGGTAGAGGTTTGCTGCCTCGGGCTGAGGTCCGTTCAATCCTCTCGACTCCCACCCTCTCGCAACCTTTGGGGCAAGACCAAAGTTTTTTAGGCACACTTTTTTGCCAAACAAAATGACACGCTACCTTTTTCCAATATTTTTTAATCCGCATACCGAAAAAAATGTACCTGATTTGCATTACGATAGTTCTACAATTCGACAATTATATGAGCCTGTCTACGCCTCGGCATACGTTCATTCCATTTAAACCTCCAATATGACTTCAGTATATAGTACGACGCACCCACCTTCACTCTGTAGGAGTTGTGCGCGGCGACGATTGCCTTCTTGGCCGCGGCAGGAACTCCTGACGCCAGTACAGAGCAGCGCTGGTTGGGCGGCAGGCACATGGAATGGCGGGTGCTGACGCTGGAGTAAGCGTCGCAACCTCCGCCATCTTCCTCCACCGCCACGAGGCCCGCGCGCCTCGAAAAGCCCGAGATGGAAGAGGTCGTGGCAGAGGCATTAGTAGTAGAAGTAGCGGTCGTGGCAGTGGTAGAAGTAGAAGTAGAGGTTGGAGCAGTGGTAGAAGTAGAAGTAGAGGTAGAGGTTGGAGCAGTGGTAGAAGTAGAAGTAGAGGTTGGAGCTGTGGTAGAAGTAGAAGTAGTAGCGGTCGTGGCAGTGGTAGAAGTAGAAGTAGCGGTCGTGGCAGTGGTAGAAGTAGAAGTAGCGGTCGTGGCAGTGGTAGAAGTAGAAGTAGCGGTCGTGGCAGTGGTAGAAGTAGAAGAAGCAGTCGTGGCAGTGGTAGAAGTAGAAGAAGCAGTCGTGGCAGTGGGGGTAACCGTAACCGTAATTATGGACGTGGGAGTGGCAGTCACTGTAACAGTGATCGTGGAGGAAGGAAAGCTCGAAGTCGTAGATGAAGGAGATGCCGTAATGGTAACTGTGGAAGTGGGCACTGGCGAGGCCGTGGCCGTGACTGTAACTGTGGGCAAAGTCGAGGTCGAGGTTGTGGCCGTAGTCCCAGGAGAGGACGTGGTGGAAGTTGGCGAAGGCGAAGCCGTGGCCGTGACCGTGGGAGAGGCCGTGACTGTGACAGTGGTGGTGGGGTCCGGGGTAGCTGGATAGACGAGAAAACCTTCAACATGCCATAAAATTATGTTAATATCGCAACAGTTTATTCAAATGGAATATCTTTTTGTAGCAATGGTGCACCGAGAAATCATAAAAATAACCCTAGTAATTCCCTGAACTTTGATACGAGATAATTGCACTAAATAAATTCAACACAATACCGTAGAACCCAGGGGAAATAGTTTGTTAGAGAAAAGGTGGCAAGGCTTAAGATTACACGTACCTCGACAGAAACAAATCGATTTGACGAAAAGCTCAATCACAGGACGGCCGTCATGAATGTTGCATTGCAGCAGCGCGCACTTAGAAGGTAAATGCTCCACGAATTCGTTCATTTTAACGAACGTGTTGTTGAAGTAGCATCCCTGGTCACGACCAATGTAAAAATTACTTACGATGTTTGAGACTGTCTTGTCGACTAGATTTTCAGCTGCACCTATGACTTTATTCAAAGTAACCAAGGGGAAGGGAATCCGAGGAGTGATGATCGAGCATTGACATCTGTCGAGATTCTCCAGGAAGATGCGGCTAGTGAATCCAATGCCAAATGAGCTCGGGACGACTCGACATACTAATTTCGAGCAAGCGCCTCTGAAGACCTCGATCGTCTGAAAACAAACCACGATTAAATGCTGACCAATATTTACTAATTATAATTTTACAACCCGATTAAATATTTCACCGGGACCGGGTGGATGATATTTAGGTTTGTTTCAAGAAGCTACATTTGATGCTAGAACCATTACACGCGGATGCATCTTGGAATGCTACAACTCGCCTAACTCAGGATAGTGGAAAAATGTGGGCAGTTTGTAGGCTGAGAAATTTAAAAGAACCCTCTACATGCGAAAGGAGACCGATTTTGTCGGCACATTAATTTATACCCGACAGTTTCCTTGCGTAAACAAACTATGTCTACGGATTTTTGTGCGAAATTCGTCCCATAAATATTATCAGTGTTAGTAATCACTGCGGAACCTGAAGATTATGCCGTCGTTATTCGCGACTAGTCGACTTCCATTGACAACACTACATTAATAAAACCAAGTAAGCTTTGCAGAAAACAACCGTATGAGAATAAAAATTTTTGTCCGGCTCTAATTTAACGAGCCCGATGGGCTCAAATTTCTTTTTTCAATAACCCCACCGAAAAAAAAACTCGAGACAATACAGGTGATCGATGCAATACGCTCGGACACTTTGAAATTTTTATGAAGTAACCATTTCAGGAAGATATTTACATTTCAAGCCGTAATGAACACGCTAATGTTGGTTTGACATCTTTAAGTGCATTCCAATAGAACAAAATCTTTGTTCCACAAGCGCTCACTTCGGACGTCTTGACGATTTTGGTACAGAAAATAAGAATCCCCCGTGCATCAGCGCAGCTTTTCACAGCCTTGCGATCCTCTAACGATACAGATGGTCATAATTATTAATCATTCAGACACCTAATTTGCGCAGCCGTCTGTTCAGCCTTACCTGCCCATCTGTGTACAAGTAGTCGTTGTAGATGCATTGTAGGCCCGGATATTCTAGCTGTAGATCAGCATTTGTCGCACCGGCTGTACGATCATGAGAAACTTGAATTTTAGTTTAGAATTTAGTACAAAAGCTACATCAAAGTCATTCTAATTCACTGCCAATTTTTTAAATTAGGCCAATATTCCCTAGTGCTATGAAATAGCAACACTGACAAAAATCTATACGCCACAGATTTGCCATTTTCTCTTACAGGATGGAACTCCTATAAACCATGCGACTTTTAAATTTGAGAATCTGGCGTCTAGCATCCACCTAGAACAGCGTTATCAAGTCATTTGTCTAATTTCAATTTCAAAATTATAGACAGTTTGTTTACAATTTATGCTTCGGTGACGTACATGCAGTTACGGACCACGAACAAAATCCCAAAAATTCAACAAATTCTGGTTTATATCAAACAGATTTTCTAAACCTGAGAGCAGTATGTACCAAACGTTGGCTCGATGGGCAAAATATTTATACAACTTCCAGAAATTTTAAAGATATCTTGGCTCTACTGTGTACACGAATAGGTAGGTACTGCATTCATGAAAATGCGGAAAACGAACGCTTAACCGCTTTTGGATTAAATACGTTATCAGGTACTATACGCCTAGAATAGCTCAAACCTAGTAATTTGAATACTAGGAACTGTCCACATCCAACTATACCACTCGACCTGTAGTTTGCAAGTTTTATTCCGTCTAGCATTAGTAGCAGACTTCAAGAAGAAAAATCTTTATTAAAAGTTTAGTATTTTCATCAAATTCAATTCAAACTGATGACCCATCATCCCCAGTCTGTATTACAGCCTGCGTCGTCCTTGACTAACATCGTCAGTCTCTGACACATCGGACACAAGCTAGCAAGTTGCAGCCTGAAGACTACGATCTATGAACCAATATCGGCAATGTGATTTGCCAATTTCACTCCAACCGCATAGAATAGATCTCGAATTTAGCAATATGCAGGAAGAAATAGCGACCTTTGTGCCTCTTCGAATAACTAATTTATATCACATCTTACAGTAGTGTCTCTTACTAGATCTATTCCCGTAAGTTTCAACTTGTGGCGTTAAGACACGCACTGAAAGCATGTATCAGACTCGATAACCTTTTGAGTTACTCGAAGGGAACGATTTCGGTCGGCGACAAGACACTTTAAATATATGACGCTCTAGAACTTAGAAAGAACACTCACCTGGAGTTAAATTCGACGCTAACCCAAAGAGTGCGATTATAATAAATGTAAAATACATCTTAGTTTCTGGAAAACAATGAACGACAAATTATTCGTCGCCAGAAGTTGATGATCAGCAATTTCACGACTCATTTTTCAATTGAGCAATGAATACTATGAATGGAAGTCATTGAATGCGCCAGGAGCCCAATAAGAAATGAAAAGATTAGATAGTGAATTAAGCTACCCACAACCACTAAAATAGGCTTCCGCTTATTAGCCGCTTCACGTTATTAATGGTATAATAGTGCAAGATAGGTAAGCCTGCATACTTCCACTTCGTCATCTGTTAAATTAAAGTTCATCGTATAAAGACAGTGGTGCAGAGTTGGCGTTGGTTGGCCGGATTTGACCCAAGATGAAGAGCACGCCAATGGAATAAGGAGGACTCGATATGAAGGAGGGGCTATTAGGTTTAGTCAAACTTTGCCAAGGCAGATAGAAATGCACCAGATATCGATGCCGTAAGTAACAATGTTACAGAAAGACAAGCAATAAGTCACGTGAACAGGGCTGTACTGTTCGCAGACTACCCATTACCATAAACGGAGTTTAGATTTATAACTGCAGTCTTTCGCAAATACCTGCTGAAGCTACCCAGTGCCCTTTAGCATGGGAGGGAAATTCCGATTTCCGGCTATAGAGACGGTCACTCATCGCATATAGGAACTGAAAGTGCGAAACTGAGAACCACATACACGGTTTTAATAGGCACCTTCAACTTATCATCCACTAATGATCGCCTTAGAAAATAGTACACCCAAATTACAGGCATCACGTCATAAGCCATTCCGTTGTTACAATTATGGTCGCTGCCAGACGCACCGCTCTCTGATGCTAGCTTACCGCGCCGTCTAAGTATGAAAGCTAAGTTCAGACGCTAGCTACGAAGGTTGCATGGGGGAAGACGGATTAATGTTCTATTCGTTTAGGGTTTATCAAGAGTTGAGCAGAGAGACAAGCAGACTAAAGCAGACTAATTGAAATAGTGCCATGAAATATGCAGGCACCAGTAACAAAAAAAACTGTTCATAAATTGTTTCTGCATTTTTAAGTAAAAAGTGCACATGTTGCAAAAAAATTCTTTTTTTGCACATGGGGCAACCCAGTTACATGTCAGGTAGTGGTTGGTTTATTATTTCCACACCATATCTCATGTCATATGGTTGAGCATTGGTTTCAGGAATGTTTTTAGCTCTCGGTCATCCAATTCATTATAGATAATGTCCTTAGTGAAGCAAGGCATCTGATCTAAACTCAGAATCTTGGTTTGGATTTTGTAAAAGTTATCACTAACGGCGAAACTGAATTTATATCAGGAATTTATACTGCACACATTGACAGATAACCTCTCTACTAGCTCGGGGGAAAAAAACTGGACACTTTTATTTCCAGTCTACTAAGGTTACTAATAACCGTGAGTGTGGTTGAGGATGGCTCAGCAAATTGTCAAAAAATTTCAAAACTGAATTATATTTGAATTATTTGTTAGGTATTTGGGCTCATTTGGAAAATTGTTGGGCAAGTTTAATCTTATTGTCGCATTCTTCAGGAGATTGCATCATTAGCGACATAACTTCCCATTATATAATTAATGACTGGAGGTAGAATTTAGATGATATCTCAGCTGATGTCTTTTTAGCGCATTTTCTCATTTATGGAAAAATGCACAATTGTGCTCGCCAAGTCTGTCTGTCTGTCCGTCCGTCCGTGACTTCACGTTTTCGTCGACGAGAAAATGCGCTCTCTGTCACTCACTGCAGTGAGTACTGAGTTATATTTTTTAGACTTGGCAGTATTAATGGATGATCGAGAAGCCCGCTTTGAGTCGCTTCAAAATGAACAGCACAGGTCCGAAATGTTGTCAAGTACAATTAAGTTGAGAAAAAGAGGTAGGAAAATGAAAATCTTGCATCTGACTTCGTTTATATCGGTAACAAGGCGCATGCTCTCTGCATCGTCTGTATGACTGACCACGATGTATATACACCAAATTTATCCGTGGTACGTGCTTAACGCAGTGTCGTTGCGCATTAATTGTGGAAACTGCACGGCAATACAAAATTCTCTGAAAATAGTTTTACTTTTACGCGAACTTTTGAATTTTGCGAAAGGCGACTATGATAAACTCCGTGAGGCAGTGGATGCAGTGAATATTTCGAACTGTATTAAGGATATGAATGTGGCTGAGTCATGGTCATTTCTCAAGGACACGGTTATGTCTGCAGTTGATGCGTGTATACCTAAAATTAAGCTTAGTGCAGCCAAAAAGACTCAGTGGATGAACACCACAGTTCTAGCTAAGCTGAAAACAAAGAAGGAAGCCTACCAGCGTTATTTACAGACTCGTAGCGATGCTGACTATAACCTATACGCAAGAGCTCGAAATCAAGCTAAAGAAAACTGTCGCACCGCAATAAAAACACTCTAAAAAAATATTGCTAAAAATGCAAAAAAGAACCCGAAAGCCTTCTTTTTATTACCACGTTTTTCTTAGCTCGCTTTCGTGTCTGTGATGATCAAATCTTGCAATCGATATTTCACCAACTTTCCCATTAGCTAGCGCTCTGAAACTTTTAGGGAAGCTCAGCTCCCGATAACAATACAATAATCAATGTAAAATATTTTAACTGAAATACAAAAGACCAAGAGAATGAAAGCAAACAGAGATCAGTATAGCTGCCGAAAAATTATTTTCTACTTTTGAGTCCACATGAAAAACGTGGTCTTTAAAATTTTTTTTATACATTTTATTGTACGCTAGCTCGAAGTGCAAGATGAAGGACGGTATTTCTGATTTGAAAGTAGATCAACGAAAGATATCCTCTGATGAGGGCAAGGCTAACGTTCTTATAATCAGTTTTCAGTAGCGTATTCACTGAAGTGGACTTGAACAGTATTCCAGCTATTGAGGAGCGCCCAGTCGGCTCTAAATTAACAAGTTTTGAAATACAAGAAGAAGAGGTTCTCAAGCGCCTTATCGCTGAAAATCCAAACAAGTCATGTGGACCAGACGGCTTCCACCCCAGATTACTCAAAGAGTTAGCAACTGTCCGGCCCTTTGGCGTAATTTTTTCGAAAAACTTTGAACGAAGGAATCTTGCCGGCTGACTGGAAAAAAGCTCAAGTGACACCGTTATTCAAAAGAGGTGACAAAAGCTGCCCGAGCAACTATCGCCCTGTCAGTTTGACAAGTGTCGTTTGCAAGGTAATGGAATCTGTTGTGAGGGATCGATTGATAGATCATTTGACTGCTAATAATCTCCTATCAGACTGTCAACGTGGCTTTATTGCTGGAAGATCCTGCACCACTAACCTCTTGTCTACTCTGAACGAATGGACCCGCCTGCTGGACGAAAGGAAGCCAGTAGATGCAATGTACCTCGATTTTGCCAAAGCATTTGACAGAGTCCCACATGAGAGGCTGTTGCGTAAATTGCAGTCTTTGGGAATTGACAGCAATGTACTCAAATGGATCAGAGATTTTCTAGTAGGGAGACGACAACGTGTCAGTATTAATGGGTCCTTATCGGACTCCAGTGGCCCAGTGCGCAGCGGCGTGCCACAAGGAAGCGTTCTCGGGCCTGTTTTATTCGTTGCGTTTATAAACGATCTGCCAGAAGCTGTGTCTAGCGTGTGCTCGATGTATGCTGACGACACAAAAATTAATAATACAGTGAAGAATACGTCGCAAAAAGTACAGTTACAAGGTGATCTTGACAGGCTGGTTGACTGGGCTGATAAGTGGCAGCTGCGCTTTAACGTAGACAAATGTAAAGTAATCCACCTTGGCAACAATAATGAACAGCAAGATTACAGCATGAGATGGAGAAGACACGGTTGCAACGAAAGAGTGATGATGTCGAAGTCGACAATGGAAAAAGATTTAGGAGTTAATATCGACAATGAGTTGAAATTTTCTAAGCATATTGAAGGTCAAGTTAATAAAGCCAATAAACGACTTGGACTGATCAGACGCTCTTTCGAGTTCCTATAGATGCAGAAGCGATGAAGCAGTTGTTTGTTGCTGTCGTGCGCCCGAACCTAGAGTTTGGAAATGTCGTGTGGTCACTGAAACTTGAAAAGGACAAAAATTTAATAGAGAGTGTTCAAAGACGTGCAACAAGGATAATTCCGGGCTTGAAAAGCAAGGTCTATGAGGAAAGATTAAAGATTATGAAGCTTCCAAGCCTCCATTATCGACGTCTGCGTGGGGAACTCATTGAAGCATACAAGTATACCCATGGCTCATACAAGGTTCCAGAAGGATTACTAGAATTTGAAACAAGAACCAATACCAGGGGCCACAGCCATAAACTAAAAAAACTGCGTTGTAACACATCCATGCGACAACATTTCTTCTCGCTTCGAGTCACCGACATGTGGAACAGCCTCCCTGATAGTATCGTTGACGCTCCGAGTATGAACGCCTTCAAAAACAGACTAGACGAAGCTATGCAGGAGCATATGTTCAGTCTTAAAATGCCCAGGAAATTACGGACCAGGCAATAAGTCCAGCAGCTATCTCAATCAACCGTCAGTTATGGAAAGATCGGGTTCCAAAGGCCGGATCCCTTGTGAATCATGTCACGAAAAATTCAAGAATCGGCAACAGGCCATGGGCCTATTTCATCAGTGCCGACACTTCTATTCTATTCTTTTCACTTCACTTCATTTCAACTATTGACTGTTTGATGAAGTAGTCCGCTTAAAGATTTTAATATTTTTAAATGTGAAAGCAAATAAATGTTGAAGGATGTACATGAGGAATGATTAATTTGTCTTATTGATTACTTAGTTGTATAGTCATCCCGTTATGTTGAGAGTTATATACCTCCGTATCAACAGACGCAACCTGTTTTCGTGGACATTGCCTCCGACAAAACTCACATTTTATTGAGTTTTTTTTTTCTTTAGATCATTTACCGACATGAGTAGCTGATGGCTATGATACCTGCTGCAATTGCATTGTTACACAATCAAATTACATCGGTCCTTGTTGTGCCTGATGCATTATTCTAATCAAACGAAGTACAAAGCTGGTGCTCTGCTATCTCTCCAGAAGTTCTACTGGCAGAAATCGGGCCAGGAGGTGCTTCTGACACTCCATGTTCTTTCCAAATTAAGAAAAAAATATGAACGGAGATCGCTTTAAGCGTCTGAAATTTTCCAGTACTCTTTCATATGCAGAAATAACAAGTTGATGAGTCGAAGACTGCAAATAAATAGATAGCCGCTGAGTATTAGATTAATGTAAGCTAATGTTTACTGTAGAGCGCGTATTTTCGTCACCGGATCGGATGTATCACGGTATGAACCATTTCCTTAATTAGTGAAATTCTGCAATCTCAATGAGTTATGATCTTTTTTTTTAACACGTTTAATTAATGCATAAAGTATAAACAAGGGTGTTGAAATCGGCCAATTACGGCCTGCCAAAGACTTTTCACAGGAGATATAAAAACTCCATTGAGCAAATATTCTAAAAACTGACGTTGAAGCAATTTAGCAACTAGACTTATAAGGTCATTGTGTGGGATGCTTTTTTCAATTTTGAACATAATACGGCCACTGATGTCCTCGTTTCCACTTAATGTTGAACTTCTCTTCAGTATCTGTGTAGACTTGCTGGGTTCCACAGTCACTCACTGCCTCCTGAACATTCATAAATGTCTTTTAAAGACTCGTGGAAACTGTGCTATCCTTAAAATTTGCAAATCTATACCGACGGATCGCGGAACGCATTCTGCCAGTGGCCTAAATCCGCCGCAGAGAGGGAGATCGGTGCGAGGCCTTTCGACTGCGAGTGCGGTCGATTACGGACGTGTGCCTGTGAACATTGAACAATCGACTAGATAGATTTGTGTCCACCTAGATATTAGCCGAAATCGTATCTCACATATATTTATCAGTATTATAAATAGGTAAGTCACGTGTGAGTGGAGGAGAAGTTGAGCCTCAGAGCTCGAGCTCCTAATTACAATGATGCGGCGCCATAAGCGGCGTAGGGGTGGGGGCGCGTCCATGTCCGACTCAGACGTTGAGGCCGGCCCTACTCCTTTGCCTGCTTCTGTGCCTTTAAAACCTTCATCGCCGGTAGCCAACAATTCCAGTGACAGTAGCATAAACTGCATTCCTGAGACTCCTAACCCTTCATCTTTATTGAGTTGCCCACCAGCGCCAGGTGCCGAGCAGCCTACATCTAATAAAAAATCTGGTTACACTAAGAAAAGTAATTTTGAAGGTTTTGCATGTGATCAACTCTCTTTGACTTCTGACATGTCGGAAGACGAAATCCCACCAACCCCTACCCCGNAGGTGAGTGGGTAACGTAAGTTACGTAACCCCCATGTTAGTAAGTCACGAAAAAAATCGGTTTTCCGATGCCGACCGCCAAAAATGGATTTCAGATTCGTAATCTACACCCCAAAAAACATATAATTAAAAAAAAAAACACCCTTTTTTTGGATGTAGTTAATCTGCAATAATACCGATAGACATTTAATTTCGTCAGTATCGAGAGATAGGAGTGGTGAATAAAAGTTCGAAACTCCTTGACTCAACAGTGAACAACTTCCCAAGGATGCCGTCATGCCGATCTGTCGCCGAAAACGGTCTAAGTAAAGGAGGCAGTGCGTCAATGTCTGATTCAGACGGGGACGCCGGTTCTTCTGCTCTATCGGCTTCTGCGTCTGCGACATCAGCGGTGCGGCCGGTGCCGAGAACTCCTCACAAGCAGCCAAGACGATCTCAGGCTGATCCAAACAGTCCATCATTGCCAGTTGCTGACATGACATATCTCTGACAGACTGACAACTTGACAAGTGACTCAAGTCAAAGTCTCAAACTTAACATTCCGGAAACCTATAGGCCCTAACTCAGCAGCATTAACTGACCATTTGGCTTTGCCTGACTTGGTCCTGGAGGATGCAGTGGGAGTGGAGGCTATGTCTGGTGATAACTGACCCCTGCTATAAGTAATTTTGAAGGATTTAGTTCTAACTGCTTAAATGGCCTTAGTCGGCTGACTCGGCTCCCAAATGACTCAGATGTATCTGAGGGTGACTGGGTGAGAGCCTGCTGACTCCTGCCCAGAGAACTGCAGGCACCAAGACTACAAGACTAACGCTAACCTTCGAAACCTGGTTGAGCCCACCCGGGAGTCAGAGCCTGCTGCTTCAAGCTCGTTTGGGAAGGTTATTATCATTGAGCCAGTTGCTGGTGCCCACCCAGTTGATAAATTCTTCTCAAATGATCTGACTCTGAGTAAGGCCCTGGCCAACTCACCTTTGGCTTTTGGCAGAGCAAGCATTAAAAACATCTGCCTTTAGGGCCGCAACTAGAGGTTTCCCGCCATTTCTGAAACCGCGAGATTTCCGTCAGATGAATTACCTCCTATCCAAATGTTAACAAAAGTGCGATATCGAGCCGCGAGATTCCAAATGTATTGAAAATTCGTCATGTTGAAGCCGCGAGATTTCAGAAACAAATAGAAAAATTCCAATCCTGTGGCAGAGCAGGCATTGCCGGATTCAGCAAAAATCTTGGCCGAAAAATTCTCGTAGTTACCTTTGAGAGGGATCTTGGCACTGAGATGGCCTCTTTGTTAGAGATCAATCAGCTTGCATCTTGGAACATAAAGTGTCGTCTTCCTGCCAGTTATTGTAAGATCTGTTGGAGTCATTGGCCCACTTGGCAAGGATGTTTCAAATGAAGACCTGTTTGAGGCTCTTGTTCTGGCAGGGCATAGCAATACCACTGCAGAAAGAATTCAAAAAGGAAAAGATAAACTAAATACATCAATGTTCAAGATCACTTTCAACACAAGTACACTGCCAGTGACTGCCGGCCTTTCTTCACCTTGGGTATCGGCGCTTCCAAGTAAGCCCCTACATTGCCAAGCCCTGGCAGTGTTTCAAATGTCAAAGATTTCACTACAATGCCATTAGTTGCAAAAATGCACCACGCTGTGTTGCATGCAGTGCTGCCCACAATGTGAAGGACTGTTTGGCACAAGCCACAAGGCAGCCCTCTCTGTTGCAACTGTGGCGGCAGCTGGCAAGCGCACTGCTAACTATGGGGGATGTAAACTCATGAAGGCCCAAGCAGTGGAAAGAACCAGGGTTAAGCAAAGGGTCTCCTATCAGGATGCCCTGAGGATGGTAAAGCAGCCATCCCAAAAAAATGACTGCCATCTCAACAATGGAACAAGTTCTGGTGAAAATTTTTCTCAGTCTCCTCTATCTTCTACTCCTACTGCTGAAATGAGAACCTGGGCCCAAAAAGTTAAGCCTAGACATCCCCAGGCTGCCCACACTGTGACCACTTAGCAGAGTTATTATTCCAAAATCTCACTTTTCACACTTTTTTCAGCAATTTTTAGAGGTACTGGTAGTATATGTATTATTTCTTGACTTGCTTTTTGCTACATAGATTAATAGATAGTAAAAATGTTGAACTTTACACCAATATTTTTAGTTTTGCAAAATTTTGATTAGTTTAGCTGCTACAACATTTCTACAAATTTGGGACAACGGTCCTGATTACCCTGCCCGTTCCTTATTACCTCATTTGATGGCATATATATCTGTGCCTGGTAGGTGAGCTGCCTTGTTGCTCATTATTATTATTATTTTACAAAGCATTTATCATGGCATCTGGGTCAAACAAAATATGAGTGCATGTTACACGTTGGTTCGATAGCAAGCAAAAAATAAATAATGTCAATAGACATTTTTTGAGGCAGCAGGATTGTCAGACCAGCTTAGGCAGGACAAATTTTACTCTCCAATTTTTATTCCAAGCAAAAATACTCCCACATCTAAATTTGACATTAGCCATGAAGCTGATCTGCTGTCTGCTATGCCACCATAGTTTGAATGCTCTGTGCACTTTAATCCTCTTTTGACAAGTAACAGCATGGCAAGTAGAATTAAGTAGCTAGGCCTGCACCTACAATGTTGTTGTTGGCTTTATTTAGCAACAAAAAGATATTGCAGGATGCATACGGTATGCTTAACATTTAGCCAAACAGAGGTATCAGTTTAAATTTATTTTTCTACTCTTTATCTACAGAAATTCAATGATAAAATTATGTTGATTTCCAAAACTTTAATGATCTTCAAGCATTCCTGCTGGACAAACAAATTATTCCTAACAATATTACCATCTAATTATGGCAGCACCAACAGCAGTGCCTTCTGTGCCAGATACTCCTCTAATTTTTCAACTAAGGTATGTTTGTCTCATTGTTCCACCTTTCCTACTCATTTATTGTAAGAGAATAACAGCTTGCCTTTTATTTAGGCTCAATGTTTAATTATAGGGTTCAAAAATTGATAAAAGGAGCCAATTAGGGCTTTTTGAAATGTATTAAACTGAAGTCAACGTTAGGTTTCAAGTAAAGGATGCTGTCATTATTCCATGAGATAGTGCAAATTTTATATCTTGAACAGAAGGGCTCCAGACTGACTTGCCCATTCTAAAATATTAGCTCATTCAGTGGAGGTACAAAATGAGTCTGGCTTAAACTTTTCTAATCTAATAAGTTAAGTCACCATATCTTATCCCTCATGAATTTAACCCTGAATTCTTTGTGGTGAATTTTTTTGGGGCAGTTTCACAACTTCAAACAATGGCTCACTTGGAGTATAGTTAACTTTGAGTGAATTGGATGAGGAGGGTTAGGACAATGGTGTTCTTTGCATAGAAAACGAATCATTTTCTTTGCATAGAAAATAAATGATAGAAAATTAAGTTACAGAATAACTTAATTCAGTAATGCATGCATACCTATACACTCACTGTGAAGAACACTAATGAATTAAATAAACATTTTGTACAGGCTGAGAGATGGACAAGACCTGAGAAGTCCATGCTTTGTTATGCCACCTCCCTGGCAGCGGATGGAGTGCGGACCACTGAGCTCACTGAAGTGGCAGTGCCTGTTATTGCTAGACCTTCAGATGTGTTGGTGGAGGTGCAGGCGGCGTCTATCAATGCTCTCGATGTCCTCATGATGCGTAAGTTAACCTTGTCAATAAATGAAAACATTGATAACCTTTGATGTGCAATGTCAGCTGATATTTGTCAATCTATACCTATTTCTGTTTTTATAAGTAATGAAAAATTCCTTTAATCAGGACTTCAATTCTTGAAAATTTTTACAATCAAACAACCATTATCTTAGGGTTCCACTGGTCAAACTTGCCACTGTATATTCTTGAAAATAAAATTGATGAATGTATTCAAGAAGCGGCTAATGCCTAAAACAGGGAACACAAGTCAAGTAACATGCTAATTGTGTTTATTTTACACAGGTGGATATGGTCACAAGTTGCTATCCTTCATGAAAAACATGAGCAGCTTCAGTCCTAACTGCTATGCCAAAGCAGACACAAGTCAAGAGCTCCCATTGATTGGTATGTTGCACACCTCTATTTTATGACAACTAGTGTAGGTATTGATGGTATGTTGCACACCTCTATTTTATAGCAACTAGTGTAGATATTTGCCCCAATTACAGTAATTATGGGATGATACCAGAGAGATTTGTCAGTTTATAAATGCAAAGTTTAAATTTTGGGCATTAGTTTAAGTTATATAAATTTAAAAACTTTTATACAATAACCACAGATAAATAAGACCTACTAGCTGATGGAGCTTACTTGTACTAATATTAAAAAAAGCATAAGTAGACATTAAAATTTCATAACATTTTGCCCATTCAGCTCTTCTCTTCTCTTCAAGAAATGTTGTCTTATCCTTAATATCTTGATTGTCTTAGATCTGAGTATATAACCAGTGATTTAATTCCTTTCGAATTTTATGTTGTTGAATAATTATCAATGTTTAACTCCATTTGATTCATGTGTTGAAATCAGATAATCATATTCCCTGTTTATGTAGTGGGTCGTGACTTCTGTGGCATGGTGGCTGGATCAGAGTATATAACTATTGATATAATTCCATTTTAATTTTATGTTGTTGAATAATTAATGTTTAACTCCATTTGATTTATGTGTGAAATTAGGTCATCATATTCCCTGTTTATGTAGTGGGCCGTGACTTCTGTGGCGTGGTGGCCGGCCTGGGCGGTGGAGTGCAGGGGTTGCAGCTCGGCCAGCGGGTCATGGGTGTTGTGGAGCCCATGCATCCAGGCTGCCATGCTCAATATGTGCTTGTGGACCAAAATAATGTGAGAGCTTAAACATGGCTCACATCATGTGAGGGCTCACAGTGTGTCAGCCTTAGTTCAGTTCCTTAGTGATAAAGTTTGTGTCAGCCTTGTGATATATTTTGTGTCAGCCTTATGATATAGTTTGTGTCAGCCTTATGATAGGTATAGTTTGTGTCAGCCTTATGATATAGTTTGTGTCAGCCTTATGATATAGTTTGTGTCAGCCTTATGATAAGTGCTGACTGTGTGGCATGAAGCCAGGTGGTGCCAGCACCCAGCCACCTGAGTGCCCCGGAGGTGGCTGCGGTGCCCTACTGCGCCCTGACCGCCTACAGCGCCGCCGGCCGCCACTGCTCCACCAGCGGCCCCAGGGGGCGGGTGCTCGTCGCTGGAGCCTCAGGAGGAGTTGGGCTGCTGCTTGTACAAATGTTACGCGCCTGGGGCGCCCATGTGAGATTTTATTGCTTGTCTGTGTATTACCGTAATTTAGCTTATTATGTTCATTTCATACCCATATTTATTGCTTGTCTGTCCATTTATTTAGTTTATTATGTTCATTTCCAACCCATATATGTACCAAATATGCATATAATATTAATTTTTTTAATTGAGGTTATATTTAATAATGTGCCAAAGTGAGATTTTATTGCTTGTCTGTCTATTCATTTAGCTTATTATGTTCATTTAAAACCCATTTATGTACCAAATATGCATATCATAATAGTTTTTCATACTTGATATTATATTTACTAATGTGCTAGAAGTACCAAATTTGGTTATGCCCCTCATTCAGTACCATTTTTGTATTAAATTGTCATGAACCACATAGAACAATTCAGTTACGTTTGTGTTTGCGTTTGCAGGTGGCAGGAGTTTGCAGCGCTGACGCCTTCGACTTGTTGACCTCGCTTGGCATCACCGAACTGTACGACTACAGTGACCCTCACGCTCTGAGGGAACTGTTTGCTGACAAGAGGTGAGGGGTAGTTGTTGGGCTGACAAGAGGTGAGGGTAGTTGTTGGGCTGACAAGAGGTGAGGGGTAGGTCTTGGGCTGACAAGAGGTGAGGGGTAGTTGTTGAGCTGACAAGAGGTGAGGGGTAGTTGTTGGGCTGACAAGAGGTGAGGGGTAGGTCTTGGGCTGACAAGAGGTGAGGGGTAGTTGTTGAGCTGACAAGAGGTGAGGGTTAGGTCTTGGGCTGACAAGAGGTGAAGGCAGTTCTTGGGCTGACAAGAGGTGAAGGCAGTTCTTGGGCTGACAAGAGGTGAGAGGTAGGTCTTGAGTTGACAAGAGGTGAGGGTTAGGTCTTGGGCTGACAAGAGGTGAGGGCTGTGCTTGGCGCGACAAGGATTACTGTTCAAATATGCTTTGCCTTGTATAACCATTACAATGAAATCCTATGTTAATGGTTTGGTCCAAACAAATTAGAATTCATGTGTAAAATATTCACCGTTATTGGGATTACGACCTACATGAACTGCACCACTTCTTTTATTACATCAGTCAGTGACAACCACAGGCAACATGTGAAGGTTTGACGGAAAACTTATATGATAAATTTTACATCCATTGGGTAATCTGAATGGAAAATAATTATTCATGCTATTGTTGAAACTCTTTCACGCTGGTCAGCCTTGTCCCTGAAAACTGATTCGCTACTGTCAGTGCTTTTCGACATACATTTGAAGGTTCGACAGGAAAATTGTATAACTAATTTTACATTCATTGGGTAATCTAAAGTGAAAATAATTATTCATGCTGGTGTTGAAACTCTTTCACGCCTTATCCCTGAAAACGGATTCTCTATGTTCATTCTTTGACAATAATGTTGCGCCGACGTGTGACTGGTTTTGTGTGTCAGCTTCGACCTGGTGGTGGACGGGTCAGGCCCTCGTTGACCCACATCACTGGTCCCTCATTGACCCACATCACCGGTCCCTCATTGACCCGCATCACTGGTCCCTCATTGACCCACATCACTGGTCCCTCATTGACCCGCATCACTGGTCCCTCATTGACCCACATCACTGGTCCCTCATTGACCCACATCTCTGGTCCCTCATTGACCCACATCTCTGGTCCCTCATTGACCCACATCTCTGGTCCCTCATTGACCCACATCTCTGGTCCCTCATTGACCCACATCACTGGTCCCTCATTGACCCGCATCACTGGTCCCTCATTGACCCACATGTTTTTATGTGTGTCAGCTTCGACCTGGTGGTGGACGGGTCAGGCTGCGCTGACCTGCCCTACGTCGACGCCCTGAAGCGCCACGCGGGCGCCGTGTACGTGACGCTCACGCTGCCCCTCCTGCCCGACGTCGACCGCCACGGCGTCGTCCTCGGTGCCGCAAAGGTTATAATTTTAACCTAAATTATATTTTAATTTTAAATATCGTATAAACCTCGGGGCGGTTAAAATGACCAACTCAGCACCGTCAGTGCGAGAACCTTTGCGTCGTCAGGGTGAGCGCATTATATTGCTCCAATCTTCTCTCACAGTATCTATCGAATAATTTTACTGATTTGATCAATTGACTGTTCTCTGAAACGGTAATTCTACTCTGGTGTACTTTCATAAGACCGACTGTCAAATGTAAGCAATTCGTTTACACGGAAGAATGTTTGTGCAGATCCTACACGAAGCATGAACTCTTCTTTATTTCAGAGTGGATTTAATTTGCTGGCTAAGAATCGAGAGAGCGCCAGGGAAGGACGGATTGTAAAGTGGGGCCTCTTCCGCAGCAGTCGCTCCGCCCTCCAGCACGTTGCCGACATGTTGCAAAACAAGCAAGTAAGCACAAGCACTTCTATCTATTGCTCCTACTAATTTTTAGGTGCTCGTACGAAGATGTAAGATGTCTACCGCGACATTCCGTGATCGTAGTGGATATAAATTTTATTATTAATTACAATTCTTTGTACAATAAAGCAGGAACACTTTTCTTTTCATGACATTACGTGAATTATCTGTCTATTGGTGGTGGTAATTACCAGTGTTCGTATGAAGAATATATGGCAGGTTGTAAACTTTGACATTCCAAATCTAAACTTGTACCTAATAAATAAAAATACGATAAATACAAATACGAAGATAAACTGTGACCTCATCTGTAAATGGCTGCCAAATTGTGTGCATCAAGAATTCCTTATATGTTGACCACCTTTTGTTTTGAATATTTACTCAATATTTCAGAATATTTTCAATTATATTTTGCCGCGTTATAGACCATCATTGCAATAACAGTCAATCCATTCATTTATTTCTTCCGCGTGGGGAAATTGTATTATTTCGTAACAATTATTATATAATTGTTCAGTAATAATTGACTACATCAAGTATTAACGAACCAAGTTGTACACATAATTCATTGATGTATAAGATATAATTTTTCCGTGGTCGTTTTTTAAAAACTTGCCTAAGTGAACGTAGCGGCCGATTTCCTCATCTATGATTGGTGGGTTTAACATGAACAACCGCCAATGATTGGCTGACGGAGTTACTATTTTTGATAACATGGCCCAGGGCTCCGGCGATACAAACAATGACCTTGATGCATCTGTTTCAGCTGACGCCAGTTCTGGACAAGGTCTTCCCATGGGGGGAGGCTAAGGAGGCCTACAAACACATGGAGGGAGGCAGACATCGCGGCAAAACTGTCATCCACTTGACCAACGACTAGAAGACGTGCTAGACGACTAGAAGACTTGTTAGACGGCTAGAAGACTTGTTAGACGACTAGAAGACTTGCTAGACGACTAGAAGACTTGCTAGACGACTAGAAGACTTGCTAGACGACTAGAAGACTTGCTAGACGACTAGAAGACTTGCTAGACGACTAGAAGACTTGCTAGACGACTAGAAGACTTGCTAGACGACTAGAAGACTTGCTAGACGACTAGAAGACTTGCTAGACGACTAGAAGACTTGCTAGACGACTAGAAGACTTGCTAGACGACTAGAAGACTTGCTAGACGACTAGAAGACTTGCTAGACGACTAGAAGACTTGCTAGACGACTAGAAGACTTGCTAGACGACTAGAAGACTTGCTAGACGACTAGAAGACTTGCTAGACGACTAGAAGACTTGCTAGACGACTAGAAGACTTGCTAGACGACTAGAAGACTTGCTAGACGACTAGAAGACTTGCTAGACGACTAGAAGACTTGCTAGACGACTAGAAGACTTGCTAGACGACTAGAAGACTTGCTAGACGACTAGAAGACTTGCTAGACGACTAGAAGACTTGCTAGACGACTAGAAGACTTGCTAGACGACTAGAAGACTTGCTAGACGACTAGAAGACTTGCTAGACGACTAGAAGACTTGCTAGACGACTAGAAGACTTGCTAGACGACTAGAAGACTTGCTAGACGACTAGAAGACTTGCTAGACGACTAGAAGACTTGCTAGACGACTAGAAGACTTGCTAGACGACTAGAAGACTTGCTAGACGACTAGAAGACTTGCTAGACGACTAGAAGACTTGCTAGACGACTAGAAGACTTGCTAGACGACTAGAAGACTTGCTAGACGACTAGAAGACTTGCTAGACGACTAGAAGACTTGCTAGACGACTAAAAGGCTTGCTAGACGACTAAAAGACCTGTTGAGCGACTTGAAAAATCTAGTCGAACGGTTTTTGCTGGCTAGCTTGATTACTGAATACTGATTAACTTAATTGCATGGTTTATGAGTGACGAAGTTCATTAGTTTTTAGGTTACAGGTATTTGGAAGCAACTGATGTTCATTGGAGCTAGGAAGCCTGGTGGATGTGACTGTTGATAGCTGTAGTCAGGTGGATGTGACTGTAGATTAGTTGATAGCTGTTGTCTGGTGGATGTGACTGTTGATTAGTTGATAGCTGTTGTCAGGTGGATGTGATTGATTAGTTTATAACTGTACGTAGTTTGTGTCGCTTACGGTGGGTGACATTTTTTTATTCCCATGAGAGGAGACGTTGACCCAAGTGCATCCCAGAGCCAATCTAACCTCAAATATATTCGTATCAGTTCCATGACAATCATTTTATTATACCCGTTCAAATCAATTTAAACTGGGCTGTGTGTCTCCTTTATTTATTTACGTCAATCCCTAGCGCACAAGCAAAAATCAGTCGTAACCCTAGCAATCAAACATTAAATTCTGCCTGTTTACAGCACTTCCCTATTTATGCCGAAAAGCTCTTGGTTTGTAGGTACTTTCATTGCTGAGATAATGTCCATGCGTGCCTATTTTAAATTGCATCTTCACTGTAGTACGACGTCCAAACTGAAGAAAAATTTCTCTACACTGAGGCGTCAAGGGATCTAATGGCTGATATTTGGTGAGCCAGGAAAAGAGCAAGATAAGAACAGAGTTGACATTGTTTTTTATTGAATGCCTAATTCATTGAGCTGCTGTACAAAATGAAGTAGATGAAATACAAATAGAATGAAATCTAACAATTAAGCGATGATGTCTGAAATATAACCAAGTATTGAAACTCAAAATTTCTAAGAGTAGGTTGACTTAATTCAATATTGAAAAAAGCAGCTGGCACTAAAATTATACGGAAAATATCAACAAAAAGTAAATAGGTTCCAGTTTCAGAATGCAATCAGAAGAGCGTAGAGCATATCAGAGCAGCGCGTACTGCGCGTAGAGCAGCTCGCGTACGGTGAAATAATCTTCAGTCAACGCGCCCTCCACGGCGATGTTCCCAGCCTCTTGCTGCACAACGTCAAATAAACGTTTATTTACTTAACACTCGGGTTGTGGAACATAATTCTTTCAGATGAAGATTAAACTAATTCTAATAATAATATTATTACAATAATATTTACAAGTGAATCAATTCACTGAATACAAAGGTTGTTAAACCCAGTGGCGTCACTAGGTCCATTTCAGGGCAGCTTCATCCCCTTAAATGAAACCAGAATTTCCTCTCGGCGCTTAATTTTTAATTTTGACGCACTGATTAGTGATTACAAGGCAATAGGCTACTAATAAGTTTAAATAATCTTCATGTAATAAATACCTTATAAATGTAATGCAATGATTACTAACGTAATTAAGGCTACGGGTAAGCAAAAGTTTAATTAATCTTCGTGCAATGATCATCAATTTCGACACACTGGTTACTAACTTTCCTCAAGGCGACGGTTTCATTGGCGATCAACAAGATGCCAGTGTTAATTCAACGATTTCATTAATCTTCATGCAATAATTATTAATTTTGCGAAATGAATAATCATCAATTTCGACACACTGGTTACTAACCTTCCTCAAGGCGACGGTGCCGTTGGCGCACCACAAGATGCCGGCGTTGAACTCGGCCATGACGCCTGCCTTAGCGAGCACCTGCTTGAAGTCGCTCAGCCGCAGCTCGTTGATGAGCACCGTGTCGTGAGCACATATCTGCGAAAGATGGATAATCGTGAGCGCAGATTTGAGCAGGGACAAATAATTGTGATGGCTGATTTAAGCGGAGACTAATAATCGTGAGCGCAGCCCTGAGCAGGGGGGACAAATAACCGTGAGCACCATGTCGTGAGCGCAGATCTAATCATGATTGGTTTTTCGTGAACTTTGCAAACAACTTCAACGATATGGGTGGACCAGTGGTTAAAGTTCAGGGTACCAAGATTGGAGCAGAGAGGTGCGGGTTCGATCCCAGATCTGTGCGCCAGTTTCTGGTCAGAATCGGCAAGGAGGCCGGGCGGTTAAGCACAGCAGAATTGTAGCAGTGAGTTGCGAGTTCGAGACCGCAAAATGCAGTGAATGTTCCGCGATGTTGAGATTCGGCGACAGGCCTACGGCCTACTAAACGCTGAAACAGCTATTACTATTATATAACCATAATTTTCAAGCAAATAACTCATGAATTATCGATTTATTCAACAGAAATATCAAGAGAAATATTTAAGGCTTACTTTCTCAGGAGGAGCCTCCTCCACAACCAGCAGCTCGTCGTCCACGGACTCCGCCGATGATATAACTGAATAATATGAACGATATAGATATTTGTGATGAAATATTTTTTCTCCACATTCAGATGGGATGCGGAGAAACAGAACTTACAATCCTAAACTGGTCAGTCAGAGACAGCTCCTACACGATATAATGTCATGTTTTACTGAATATTTTTATCTTGAATTTCTCGTACAAGCAGCGAAATTTTCCCCATTCAGGAAAGTTATTTATTTTATATATTAATCCTATAATTGTGAAGAAATGAAACTAAATGATTTATCCAAACTTTCCAAACTCGGATCACCACCTGCCCTTTGTTCAAAATCACACTCACCCATTATCCAGACCATCCACAATTACCCTTACGCATAATCACCCCGAACGACTATCGATCGAAATCATACCAAATAACTCTCACCTCGAATCATATCACACATAATCATAACAGAAACACCCTCACCCATTATCACTCTATAACCACCCCCACCCATAATCACTATTACCACCCTGTTGTTGTAATTGCCCAAACTGGTAATGGTGACTAGGGAGGGGTGGTGATAGGTCAGTTTTTCCGGGCACTTAATGCCAATGGTAATTCTACGACCATCACTGGCTCGCTGACCCGCCAGAACCATTCGATTGCATTACACAACACCCTGGACAAGCCAGGTACTCATTTATCAACCAGAGTTGGATGAATGGCTGAGTTGACCATGAGCTGAGCTTCCCGGAAGAACTTGTCCTCAGTGGGACTCGAACCCGGGCGCTGGGTGCGAGTCTCTCACCACTGCACCACCACAGCTCTCTATTACCACCCTCACCCACACTCCCCCTCATCCACACTGCCCCTCACCCACACTGGCCCTCACTCACACTCCCCCTCACCCACACTCCCCCTCACCCTGCTCGAGCTGCTGAGTTCTCTTCCTCTTCTTAGTGATGCCGTCGAGCCAGGCGACCTCAGCGCCGCGGATGCCGGACGTGCGGAAGAATTTCAGAGACCGCAGCAGCGGATCCGACAACTGAATCTGTGACGTCAGGAAAGGCGTTCGTGATGCGAAAGAGAAAAAGTTACACATCTAGGCCCATATTTTCAAAAAAAGTTAAGAGATCGTAAGTTCATCAGCCAATCGTTGACGGCCTTCCAAGTAAAATCCACCAATCATAGACAAGAAAATAGAGCGTAAGTACTTACGTTCACTTAGTGAATATTGAAAGTATGGACCCTGGTGCCGTACTAGCAAATATAATTACGACTTGGTCAGCCAATCACTGATGGCATTTCGAGATTAACAAGTATACTTAGGCCGCTACTCGTACTAGGGTTACTAGGGCCGCTACGTATACTTAGGCCGCTACGTATACTTAAACGAGTTTTGATGGTACGGCCACAGGGCAAGCAGGAATCACATCATTTTTGTAGCCAGAATTTAGAAATTTTTCCCATAATGGCATTCACAGTTATGAGTTACTAATTCCTAAATCAGATTAGGAATGGAAAAAATAAGCGGATCACTCAAGTCACTCAAGATCCGAATCATTACTCACTGCCTGTTGCGTACACACCTGCTGTGATACGTACACACTTGCTGCGTGTCGTACACACCTGCTGCATGTCGTACACACCTGCTGCATGACGTACACACCTGCTGTGATACGTACACACCTGCTGCATGACGTACACACCTGCTGCGTGTCGTACACACCTGCTGTGATACGTACACACCTGCTGCGTGACATACACGCCTGCTGCGTGACATACACGCCTGCTGCGTGACATACACGCCTGCTGCGTGACGTACACACCTGCTGCGTGACATACACGCCTGCTGCGTGACATACACGCCTGCTGCGTGACGTACACACCTGCTGCATGTCGTACACACCTGCTGTGATACGTACACACCTGCTGCATGACGTACACACCTGCTGCGTGTCGTACACACCTGCTGTGATACGTACACACCTGCTGCGTGACATACACGCCTGCTGCGTGACATACACGCCTGCTGCGTGACATACACGCCTGCTGCGTGACGTACACACCTGCTGCGTGACGTACACACCTGCTGCGTGACGTACACACCTGCTGCATGACGTACACACCTGCTGCGTGACGTACACACCTGCTGCATGAGCGTGTGCGTGGACGCCAGGACGACCTGCCCCAGGACGGGCGTGTGGATGGGTGTGTGGGGGCACACGCTGCGTAGGGCGCCCGCGTGGCCGTTCAACGTCGCCTGGGAGCCCCGCACCAGGATGATACGTCCGGGGCTCACGGCCTGCGCAGGGGGGATGATACTAGGAATGATTCTTTCTAGTGACCTGGACAGAGGGGAATGATACTTTCTAGTGACCTGGACAGAGAGGAATGGTACTAGGAATGATAGTTTCTAGTGACCAGCGCAGGGGGGATGGTACTAGGAATGATAGTTTCTAGTGACCTGTGCAGGGGGGAATGAACTAGGAATGATAGTTTCTAGTGACCTGTGCAGGGGGGAATGATGCTAGGAATGATAGTTTCTAGTGACCTGTGCAGGGGGGAATGATGCTAGGAATGATAGTTTCTAGTGACCTGTGCAGGGGGGAATGATGCTAGGAATGATAGTTTCTAGTGACCTGTGCAGGGGGGAATGATGCTAGGAATGATAGTTTCTAGTGACCTGTGCAGGGGGGAATGATGCTAGGAATGATAGTTTCTAGTGACCTGTGCAGGGGGGAATGATGCTAGGAATGATAGTTTCTAGTGACCTGTGCAGGGGGGAATGATGCTAGGAATGATAGTTTCTAGTGACCTGTGCAGGGGGGAATGATGCTAGGAATGATAGTTTCTAGTGACCTGTGCAGGGGGGAATGATGCTAGGAATGATAGTTTCTAGTGACCTGTGCAGGGGGGAATGATGCTAGGAATGATAGTTTCTAGTGACCTGTGCAGGGGGGAATGATGCTAGGAATGATAGTTTCTAGTGACCTGTGCAGGGGGGAATGATGCTAGGAATGATAGTTTCTAGTGACCTGTGCAGGGGGGAATGATGCTAGGAATGATAGTTTCTAGTGACCTGTGCAGGGGGGAATGATGCTAGGAATGATAGTTTCTAGTGACCTGTGCAGGGGGGAATGATGCTAGGAATGATAGTTTCTAGTGACCTGTGCAGGGGGGAATGATGCTAGGAATGATAGTTTCTAGTGACCTGTGCAGGGGGGAATGATGCTAGGAATGATAGTTTCTAGTGACCTGTGCAGGGGGGAATGATGCTAGGAATGATAGTTTCTAGTGACCTGTGCAGGGGGGAATGATGCTAGGAATGATAGTTTCTAGTGACCTGTGCAGGGGGGAATGATGCTAGGAATGATAGTTTCTAGTGACCTGTGCAGGGGGGAATGATGCTAGGAATGATAGTTTCTAGTGACCTGTGCAGGGGGGAATGATGCTAGGAATGATAGTTTCTAGTGACCTGTGCAGGGGGGAATGATGCTAGGAATGATAGTTTCTAGTGACCTGTGCAGGGGGGAATGATGCTAGGAATGATAGTTTCTAGTGACCTGTGCAGGGGGGAATGATGCTAGGAATGATAGTTTCTAGTGACCTGTGCAGGGGGGAATGATGCTAGGAATGATAGTTTCTAGTGACCTGTGCAGGGGGGAATGATGCTAGGAATGATAGTTTCTAGTGACCTGTGCAGGGNTTAGTGTAGGGGTGGTGATAGGTGTTAGTGTAGGGGTGGTGACAGGTGTTAGTGTAGGGGTGGTGATAGGTGTTAGTGTAGGGGTGGTGACAGGTGTTAGTGCAGGGGTGGTGATAGGTGTTAGTGTAGGGGTGGTGACAGGTGTTAGTGTAGGGGTGGTGCCAGGTGTTACAGTGTGACAGTGGTGACAAGTGTTACAGTGTGACGGTGGTGACAAGTGTTACAGTGTGACGGTGGTGACAGGTATTAGTGTAGGGGTGGTGACAGGTGTTACAGTGTGACGTGCAGGTGTTAAAATATAGTGTGATGATGCTGAACCTAAATGTTACAAATCTGAACTAAAGTATCTGCCTAACGCTAAAAACTTCACGCGCGGCGCCGTACTATCAAAGTTACAAAGTTATGAGTTCGTACCTCCGTCAGCCTGTCACTAATAGTCTCTCAAGGTAAGCCCAACAATACAGGCGAGAAATCGTCCGCTATTTGTACTTAGGCAGACCTCTACGTGAAATTAAATGATTTCTGATAGTATGGCACTTTGCAGATCCATATAATTATAAAAGTTATTAACAGTAAAAAATTTCCTTTCATCCAGGCTTACGCTGAGAAGATAAATAGCAATATAACAACAGAGGATATAGTGTTGTCTCCAGAGGGCTGTTCAGACTTTGCCTCATGTGCAGAGACAGTATCAGAATAAAAAAAAATTTCTGTGCAGTTGAACAAAAGTAGAAATGCATGAAAATTTTTTAAAAATGTTATGTATTCATAAAGGTGAAGTATTAATAGATGTAACGGATTACTAGATGCAAAGTGTCAATAAATGTTAGGGATTGATAGATGTGAAGTATTAATAGATGTAAAGTACCGTATTCATAGATGCAAAGTATCAATAGATGTTAGGGATTAATAGATGTGAAATATTAATAGATTCAAGTAATACCAACCAATGATGTCCCTGTTGAGCTGCTGCAGAGGTTCTCTGGCCGCGTCATCATCCCCCTCCGTCAGCGTAGGCACGAGGTGTTCGAAGTCTGCGTGGTTGATGAACTCGCCGTACTCGTCGCTGCGGGTCTGCAATATGCTTTATTAATTAGCCAAATCAAGTGAAGGTAATTTTGTCACCAGGCCTTCAGATACAAGTTACATAGATGACAGTATATACCTATACACTAGTGATTAAACATTTGTATACTGACAGCAACGCTCTGTCAACTCCGTGCGATTAAATAGAAATTGCATTGATGATGGCTAAGTATCAATTAAAAAGGATTAACTAAATTTGTCTAGTAAAAGTCACTATCTTCACCACGCCATTAAATATGAACGGCATTTTTAAACAGTTGATGTATTCATAGAATAAAGAAAGGTCTACGTCCTGTGTCAACCAGGCTTTATGGTACTTTTACTAGCTCTCACTTAATGGTACTCTCACATTATGGTACTCTCTACGTCCTGTGTCAACCAAGCTTTATTATTGGGAGGTTGAGATTGTATTGACCTTTTAGGCAATTAGAAAGATTATCCACCCTAATACGAGTATTCTAATTAAAATATTTATTTTCAATCTTTAAATATGTGAATTTAAAACTAGAAACAAAACAATTACAATTATAAGACTATATATAAAATAATTAAATGCAGTGAATGGATATAATATATTTGAATTGTGCACATGTTTATTTCAAACAGTATTAGATTTTCTCATAACTTAAGTGACGTTTCAAGTCGTATGAGGTTTGTTTGGTTATCGTTCAGTTTATGTTTAGTATTGGTTTATTGGTGTGAATTAAATGGGAACAGTGCAGTCAGTCACAAAGTCACTACTAGTCGGTGTGTATAGAGGGTAGAGGTAGAGTCTGGTAGATTAAGAGGACATAAAACTAGTAGATCTATTGATAGTGCTGTGCACTGTGCTATCAGCTACAGTCACTACTAGTCGGTGTGTATAGAGGGTAGAGTCTGGTAGATTTATAGGACATAAAACTGGTAGATCTATTGATTGTGCTGTGCACTGTGCTATCAGCTACCTATCTGTTATGTGACTCTTCAATGTTTAGAAGATCTGCATTCCTGAAGTGTTTTTGTATATTGAAGCCAGTTAAATGGTCAATATTTAGCTCATTACCTTGCTCCATACAAACTTAACAAAGCTAATGAATAGACTTACCAATAATTGTTTACCTAAAAATCCCTAAGTGGTAAACACCACCTTGGCCTGTTGGCCATTATTGAAGGCAATAAGTGCCCTTTTTAGCCATCCATTATGATCCATATACTGTTATTGTTAGTAGGCTAATTGCAACATAAAAAATAACACTTCAAAAAGACAAAAAAGTTGAAAAAATCAAAAAAATAAAATAAATCAAAAAATCATGAAAAAATCAAATAAATCATTGATTTTTGATTTTTTTGATTTTTTTAAAAAAATCAAAAAAATCGCCAACCCTGCTTTATGGTACTCTCACTGTCAATAACGCTCACTACCAGGCTTTATGGTACAGTGTGTATTATGAAAGTAATGAGCATTTTTTCGCAAATAACATTTACTGATCGTAATTTGTACAGATAACATTTATTGATCGTAATTTGTACAAATATTCAATATTTTTCAAAATACATTTCTCCTGCATCAATACACTTGCGGAGAAGTGTTTGCCCTGAAACTCCTCGACGGGAATGCCTCTCAGGAACGTTGTAACATGGTGTTGGATGTTGAAAAGGCTGAGTTTACAGTTTGTCCTTGCGGTACAAACTCACAATGGACTATTACTCGGATGTCACAGACAATGATCATAGTTTTGATCGCAAAACTTCGCGCACACGATCCACGTTCTCTTCAGTTTGGGCTGTTGTTGGGCGTCCAGAACGCGGTTCGTAGGCGACCTTCTCCCGGCCCTCCTTGAACGCCTTGTGCCACTTCCCAGATTGTGATCTTGAAATGCAATCGTTTTTGAAGGCTTCTTGCAGCATCTGGAATGTTTCGGTTGCATTTCTTCCAATCCTTACGCAAAACTTCATGGCGTATCGTTGTTCCAGCGAACGCTCCATCGCGCTATGTTACAAAGGTCGAAAACACACTTCACGCGGAAGGCTCGTTTCTCCGCTCATACTGTTCGAACTCAACTGACGACCGGATGCACTGAAAGAGCATATCCCCCACCACATTCCCCAGCCGGTTTGACCGCGCTGCCATCTACCGTCGCGTCACAATAACATCATGCTCATTACTTTCATAATTGACTCTGTAGAATATGTTTACCAGCGTTCTACCATGCAGCTGACATTCTCCTCATGGTAAGAGAACATGTGGTGGTGCTTCCTAGACCTCATGGGCCCCCGACATGGTCATGGTAGTGTACCATGCAGCTAACCTTCTCCTCATGGTAAGGGAACATGTGGTGGTGCTTCCTAGACCTCATAGGCCCCTGCCCCCCCGCCACGGTCTTGCTCTCGAGGCAGATGATGTCGTGCTTGCCGGACTCCAGCAGCTGCAGCTCCGGGTCTTCTTCTTCGTCTGAAGAATCAACGCTGGCAAAACAAAGCAGAGGTGCCATTACTTACAAAATATCTTACAGACATGGAGGTCAATTAAATTTGATACTTGAACAAAACAAAGCAAAGTTCCATTACTTAAAAAATATTGACATATCTTACATATGGAGTTCAATTCAAGTTTATAAATTTGTGAACCTAATTGCATCAATGAAGTTGTTTTCCAGTGAAAATGTACTGTTTCATGACGTTTATAAAACCGTCCGTCCTCTCTGCCGCACCCTGTACTTGAACAAAACGAAGGAGAGTTGCCACTACTTAAAAAATCACCATATCTTACAGATACAGAGTTCAATTATATTTGATACTTGAACTAAACAATGGAGAGTGGCTATTACTTACAAAATTTACATATTTTACAGATATGGAGTTCAATTATATTTAATACTTGAACATAACAAAGCAGAGTTGCCACTACTTAAAAAATTACCATATCTTACAGATATGGAGTTCAATTATATTTAATACTTGAACATAACAAAGCAGAGTTGCCATTACTTACAAAATTACCATATCTTACAGATATTGAGTTCAATTATATTTGATACTTGAACTAAACAATGAAGAGTGTTCATCACTTAAAAACCAACAGAATTTCCAGATACCTTGTTACATTTTTAAATTGACATAAGCACAGAAAAATAGTTAGTGCAACTACTTAAAAAGAAACATTGCTCCTAGTTATGGAGCTAAATTTTATGTTGATATTTGAAAAAAACCAACGGAGAGTTGCTATTACTTAAAAAATTAACATAGCTCCCAGATAGGAATTTTATTTTAAGTTGAACAACGCAATGATAATTGATAAGTGAGAGTTGCTATCACCTAAATAAATAAAATATCTTCCATACACGAATTTAAATTCTAAGTTAATACTTGAGCATGAAAATTTCCTCACATTTTCACTATGACGTCACACAGAAAACGTTAGTTGACAGTCAAATTCATCGTCAATTAGATGAATATTATATATCACAAAAAATTTCCTCTTGTCAGCTGCTAAGAGAAGTTTTTCTAATTATTCATAAAAATATAAGATATATGAAATAGAATTCCTATTTATGAAGGGAAAAATTTGAAGTCAACTTAATCATTTTGCTAAAGGGTTGTCTATTAATTATTTAGAGGGACAAAATGGCTTTCCATTCATTATTTAGGTCAGTGATTCCTAAAGTGGGCGATATCGCCCCCCTAGGGGCTATGGAAAGATTTTGGGGGGCGGTAAGGAAGAAGAGGCCGGTAGAAAGGCGATAGGGGGGAGGGCGGTAGTCCGAAGTCGAAGTCAGAAGTTCGAACGTTTGTTTGACGATTTGTACACAACACATGCAGCAATGCATGACTCCCAGCGATGGTTTTGTCACCCAGATCTGTTTTTAACGCATTTTCTCATTTATTGAAAAATGCACTATTGTGCTTGCCATGTCCGTCCGCCTGTCTGTCCGTCCGAGACTTCACGTTTACGTCGACGAGAAAATGTGCTCTGTCACTCACTGCAGTGAGTACTGAGTTATATTTTTTAACCTCTCCTGGGTTTACGTCTCCGACAAATTAACGGCCGGACTCGCTTCCGGTCTCACGTACGATCAATTTCCAAATTCAATGATCAAGGAATATCTCTCAAACTAATGAACCTCGATGAAACTTGGTACACGTATTCATTAGGTCCAGGGACGAAATGGCTTTTCACTTATAATTCACACAGGATCCTGACACAACTCACACAGGATCCTGACACAACTCACACAGGATCCTGACACAACTCACACAGGATCCTGACACAACTCACACAGGATCCTCTAACAACTCACACAGGATCCTCTCACAACTCACACAGGACCCTCACACAAGTCACACAACTCACACAGGATCCTTCATCCTCTCCATAACTCTGTGTTGCCGCAGCATGGCCAGATGTTCCTCCAGCTCCTCGCCCTCCAGGATCACGCGCCTCTTCTCCATCAGTTTGAACACGCGCAAGTTAGGGTTGTCTATCAGCCGGCGAGCTAGAGTGCCTTCACCAGTCCTAAGCAAAACACAAGACAACAATAGTTCAATTAAATAAGTTTGGGTTGTCTATCAGCCGGCGAGCTAAAGTGCCTTCACCAGTCCTAAGCAAAACGCAAGACTATGTTTCAATTGAATAAATGTCTAGTTATAGAAATACACTTTTCTGAAACTGCGTTCTTCAAATCAGATTTGCCAATGTTCCACATTCTTTGTTAAGGTCGTAATGTGAAAAAAAAACATGAAAATGTAAAGTAATTTCCAAAAAAATTCAAGACAAGCAATGTTTCAATTAAATAAATGACTACCGGTAGTTATAGAAATACACTTTTCAAAAACTGCTTTCTTAAAATCCTAAAGATTTGCCAATGTTCCACATTCTTCATCACATACTGTCATGTTAAAAAACGTAAAAATGTAAAGTAATTTACAAATCTAAACTTAATCTGAAGGCAGAGCCAGGCAATCTGCAATTTACCTTATATACCTAGGTCTGCACATCATCAATCATTATTATTATTATTTGTTAACCCATAATCGACATGAGAAACCATGAGACCTGTTACCTGAAAGATACTTAAAAAATAATAAAAGCACTGGCAAGCACAAACCAGCCACAAATATAAAGTACTTTCTAAAGTTATTTGTGATGACATTAACATAAAATATATAATTTTTAAAGTTAATTATGTATCTCTAGCTACCGGGAGGTGAGGATGATGGCGTTCTTGCTGCTGGCCGCCCACTGCATGAAGAGCTCACGGGAGAACCCGCACTCCAGGTCTGGGAAACTGGCGAGCACAACCTGCACATTACGAGCACTCCAGGTCTGGGAAACTGGCGAGCACAACCTGCACATTACGAGCACAACCTGCACATTACGAGCACAACCTGCACATTACGAGCACAACCTGCACATTACGAGCACAACCTGCACATTACGAGCACAACCTGCACATTACGAGCACAACCTGCACATTACGAGCACAACCTGCACATTACGAGCACAACCTGCACATTACGAGCACAACCTGCACATTACGAGCACAACCTGCACATTACGAGCACAACCTGCACATTACGAGCACAACCTGCACATTACGAGCACAACCTGCACATTACGAGCACAACCTGCACATTACGAGCACAACCTGCACATTACGAGCACAACCTGCACNCCTTAGGTGAAGGCAGCTGGGCCAGTAACTAGTAGTGTCACCTTAGGTGAAGGCAGCTGGGCCAGTAACTAGTAGTGTCACCTTAGGAGAAGGCAGCTGGGCCAGTAACTAGTAGTGTCACCTTAGGAGAAGGCAGCTGGGCCAGGTCAGCGAGCGTGTGGCAGAACTTGACGTGCTTTAAGCTGAACGGATTTGATCGACTCGAGTCAAAAGATTTCGTCAGTTTCTCACTCATCCACTCGATCTGTTGAGAAAAAGATTGTAAGTACGGTATATGGGTTGCCAATGGAAATAATAATGGCCGAAATAAATTTAATGACTGAAAAAATGTATTTTTTTAGAGCAGACTAAAATTTTTCAAGGCATTGACAAAAGCAAGGTTGTTTCCTCTACACCTGTTGAAGAATTACAGGGGCTTGGATTTATGTTATTATTTCGAAAACAAATTTAACTGGCTTGAGTTTTTTTGGGACGAGATAGCACAGAAATTTATGTACAGAGAAGATGTATATATAAAATATTGAGGTCCACTGTACCACATAATAATTAAAACAATCATTTAATTGGAGCTTAGTGGTTTCACTAGAATGCAGGCATATTGCAATGAAAATTTACAGCTTATTGCAGAGCCAAAAATCGTCAAGGAAAATTGACTCAGGCAAAGTTAATGACCTTGGACGAAGTGGGCTTAGCCAGGGCCCATACTTTCAAAAAAAGTTATGAGATCCTAAGTTCATCAGCCAATCATTGACGGCCTTTCAAGCAAAATCCACCAATCACAGACAAGAAAATAGAGCGTAAGTACTTACGTTCATTGACGGCCTTTCAAGCAAAATCCACCAATCACAGACAAGAAAATAGAGCGTAAGTACTTACGTTCACTTAGCGAGTTTTGAAAGTATATGGCCCCAGGTCTGGTATGACGTGTTAGGCCATCGCTCACCATTTGTAGGAGATGAGTGACGATTTGACTCACCATTTGCCTGGCGAAGTGCATGACGTGGTAGGACGTGTTGCTCACCATTTGCCTGGCGAAGTGCATGACGTGGTAGGACGTGTTGCTCACCATTTGCCTGGCGAAGTGCATGACGTGGTAGGACGTGTTGCTCACCATTTGCCTGGCGAAGTGCATGACGTGGTAGGACGTGTTGCTCACCATTTGCCTGGCGAAGTGCATGACGTGGTAGGACGTGTTGCTCACCATTTGCCTGGCGAAGTGCATGACGTGGTAGGACGTGTTGCTCACCATTTGCCTGGCGAAGTGCATGACGTGGTAGGACGTGTTGCTCACCATTTNGGTTTGATACGAAAAGTATGTCCGGTTTGATATGAAAAGTATGTCCGGTTCATTATGGAAAGTATGTCCGGTTTGATATGAAAAATATTTCCGGTTTGATATGAAAAATATTTCCGGTTTGATATGAAAAGTATGTCCGGTTCATTATGGAAAGTATGACCGGTTTGATATGAAAAATATTTCCGGTTCATTATGAAAAGTATGTCCTGTTAAACATGATAAATAAAATATATTCCATGGTTCTTTAATTAGGCTGTCCGCCGCCCCTGCATGTCGCTTGCAGCTGACCTTAACCAGGAATGTGAGAGAAGAAAGCTTGCATTTTCAAAATTCCAATAACAAATGGGGCCGGTGAAAGAAGAACACTAAGAGAAGAAAAAAGAAGAATATTAGAGCAACGACATATTTGCGATTACCTATGAAAATGAAGTGTAGAACTCTACTGCATTCAAGGAAAATTGCATAAGAAGAGTATCCTATTCAGTAATACGGTATATATATCCAGTAATATATATGTGCTCATAATACATCTCTGCCCATTCATAACCCCTGATCCAAAAACGGGCAGGCACGCTGGATAATTTTAATCAAAGTCATTGTTAAATTTTACACATTAGTCATTCAACATTACCTACTCAAATGCCATCAATTCCCGGCTTTTCGTTCATATTATTTCGATAGCCTTCATCTAAATGAAATACTTTTTGCAGAGATTGCATGTTTGCATTGGGCTGACTGCATCCATACTGATAATGTATGGTAAGTCTGGTAACAACCATGGTTATTCTACTAACCAACATATAATAATAAATAACATACCGTCAACTGGGGTGACTTCGGCCGCGTTTTTTATTTTGTTTTGCAAACAAAAACGGGGTCATAAACGCCGGGATCATAAACGCCAGGGTCATAAACGAGGTCATAAAACACCAGGGTGACTTTAGTCATCGTTTATGACCCCGTTTTAGTATGCAAAACAAAATCAAAAACGCGGCCGAAGTCACCCCAGTTGACGGTACCAATTTAATACTCACCAACAAATAATAATAAATAATATACCAATTTAAGGCTCACCAACAAATTTCAAATCGCGCTGCCTCCTCCTCTCAGGACGATACGTGGCATTGAAGGCGTCGGTGATGAGAAGAGATGGGCGGAATATCTTGTCCAGTTCACAGCCACTGAGGTGACGCTCCTTCTTGTGGTTGTAGTCAACCGCGTACAGAATATCCTGTACGATATTAAATGTAGTCAACAGAGTTAAGAATATCCTGAAGGAGATTGAATGAGAGTTAGGATTATCCTGAAGGATATTGAATGTACACAACAGAGTTAAGATTATCCTGAAGGAGATTGAATGAGAGTTAGGATTATCCTGAAGGATATTGAATGTATACAACAGAGTTAAGATTATCCTGAAGGATACTCTTAACTCTGAGAGTAGTCAACTCTCGTTGACTACTCTTAATGTAGTCAACGGAGTTAAGAATATCCTTGATGTAGTCAACAGTGTGAATAATATCNGCATGGAAGGTAACCACAGGTAACAGGTAAGGAAGGTAACCACAGGTAACTGGCATGGAAGGTAACTGCAGGTAACAGGCAAGGAAGGTAACCACAGGTAATTATATGAGCATTACCTCCTCCCCGTCCCTGGTAATGCGCCACATGCAGCCGCCCAGCATGTGGCCCGCCGGCAGCGCTGAGATGCTCATGCCGAGCCCTTTACCTGCCCAACATAACAACTCAATTTAATCCACATAAACTAACAACAAAATTTAACTCACCAGTAAATATAACTGCAAAAATAAACAATGCGAAATTAATAGTTGAATAGCTCACTAATAACAACATCTCAGTTGCATTGATAATCAATTTACAACAAATAAATCTACCTTTCCAATAGATAACTGCTATCCATAAATCAATTAATTTACAACAAATAAATCTATCTTTCCAATTGATAACTGCTATTCATAAATCAATCTGCAAACTGATGCAAAGAACACATATTTATTGAGGCTGCCCCATGCAAGATATCACAAATGTTAACAATTGTCTTTCAGAAGAGAATAAATTAAATGAATTTTTCTGAACAGGGAATTTTTTTTCCTCCAAAATATAATGGAGGTTAAAGTTTTCTTCAAGTGTCAGACATTCCATGATATAAATGAATACCTACATAAATGATCTTTTTCACTAATGGACAAATAAGAATAAATTAATTCATGATTCAGCTCCAGTTAAAATTTGGAATGTTCGAGAGAAAATATCTGTGTTCTTTCCAATACACCTACAAAGGGCAAGATTCTACATTCACATTATTGAAAACATAACACGCAAGTAAGCATATTTATTGCCTGACCATTCTGACTTCATCAACAAAAATTACATTTTCAATTGCTACCACATTTTGTACAATTTTTACCTGAAAATTTTCTTCATATCAAGACAATCATATAAATTTTGAGACGCACTTTTTAAATTTTATGTAACTTATGACAGTAATGATGCTGGATCTAACTTATGACAGTAATGATGCTGGATCTAACTTATGATAGTAATGACCCCTCACCTCTCATGTTGATGCTCTGGTGATACTTGACTTGGATGATTCTTTCAAAGGCGGCATCCACATCATCCAGGTCAAAGAGCTCAAACTCGTCATAGCTGTGGTGGCTCTGTCAAATGATCACAAAATTATAACAACATTAATATGTTTATTCTAGGAATATATTACCAGTAAAAAATTTGTAATGCACAAAAAAAGGCTTATTATAAATTCAAATTGATAGTAGTTCAGTAGGAGCAGAATGATTCTCATCTATAAAAATGATGAAGAGTTGAAAGAATTTCTGTTCTATTGATCAAATAATTCCTTTTGCATGAATATTGTCACACAGTAAACAATTGTGATATAAAAAATAACTTAATTAATTTTGCAAAAATTTTAAATACAACTAAATATTGCGATAAAAAATAGAATGAGTTATAGAGGAAAAATTGTTGAAATATATGTGAACAATTTATTTTCTACAAGAGGCCAAAGCAAAGATATTTTTGAGGTTGCCATGAGAAAATACATAGAAGAAAAATGCATTATGGGTTAAGGTTAGGTAGCAGTCATAGATCCTTTTAAAAAGCTTTAAGAAATTCAACTATTTATTTTCATGGGAATAAATATCTGATGACATAAGCAGTCCATACAAGAATCAAGTTCACCAGTATTTTAAATAGGTAGTACCTTAAATAGTGATAATGTCATTCATTTTAGATACATCTCGTAGGTAAGTGAATCAAACATATTTCAGGACATGTAATTTATCAAAAGCAAGATATAATTAACAATTAACATATCAGGAACTAATCATCACATACCACATAATAATCACTCAGATAATCACATATCACAATACAATTTTATAATCACAAATTATAAGAAGATTTATATTTCCAGCCAATAATACCAATACATAACAAATTACACAAATTAATTAGAAATTAATTATTTTGTTGAGAAAGAAGCAATGATGAGAACCATACCTGATACCAGTCATACATGAACATCTGTCCATTCTTGTAGACGGGAATGGTGGCATATACAGGACAAGACAGCTGGCACTTGCCAACCAGGTAAGGGAACTAACCTGGTACCAGTCATACATGAACATCTGGCCATTCTTGTAGACGGGAATGGTGGCATATACAGGACAAGACAGCTGGCACTTGCCAACCAGGTAAGGGAAAGCTCCTAAGTGGAGGGGATCAGGGAAGGACAGCAACACGCAGTCAACATGGTTGATTGCCCTGTATAAATAAATAGAATTTAGATTATTCAAGTACAAAAGATACAACATATCAAAGATAGCAATAGGCCTCTTGACAGTAGTGGCAAAATCCTAAATGAATATGATAAATTACAAGTTTACTGTGACAAATGTTTTTAGAGTATATCTACCGGTGCTGCAAATGATTCTACTTCACTTCAACAAGTAAGTATCAAGAAATTTTTTTAGAATAAGTTAGACCAATAATATTTTTTCTAATTGCAGTGACCATGTGATAACATGAACAAACATGGGATCTTATAGATGAGAATTTTCTCACATTAATTCCTATGACTAAAATTGTAATTTGTAGCTACAGAGACTTGAGGACAAGCATTTGCATCAATCAGCCATGCAACACATAGTTGTCCAAATTTGAAATTTTAGTCACACATCTCTTTTGTTTAATAATGCCTGGCAATAAATGTCAGCAAAGTTTTTGTGCATAACAGTTCATTGAATAAAATTTTAAAACTGCTGTATATGGCAAATTAAATTCAAGAGTTTGGAGACACTGGAAAGATTTTGAGTTGTTAAACCATAAAGCTAATTAGATAAAAAATGGCAATAAGACACAGAATTAAATTAAAATTGTTATATTATTGATGGATGAATTATGTATACACAAAGCCAACAAAAAAACTCACCTTGCAAGCTCAAGAACTGATCAAATTCAAGATTTTATTCAAATCCCATTTCATAGATTGCTATAAAATAATTTATAAATGACTAAAATAAGTTAGATCTAATTCTCACTTGGATAGTCGATCAATATAGTCCTTGTCGAATTTTTCATCCCAGCCACAATCGAGCAGAAATGTGAAGTCATCAACAGTAAGAAGATAGCAATGTGGTGTCTCACTGCCAACACCCCAAATACCTTCAAACTTGACAATTGAACTCATATTGTAGTCACAAAATGTTCATTGCCATAGCACAACACAAAATTTATTTATTTGTTTTCTTTTAATGAACATGTACTTTGAGTTGTCTACATCACATAGGTCAAGACAAAGCAATGATTAATATGATTGATCTTTACTAGATACTAGATTGACTAACAGATCTAGTCCAGAAAAGATCCAGTCAAATGACATGATTCTAGATCTTCTGTGAACAAGTCACGAAAAGTAAGAATTGACGACAAGCCACATCAGGCCTACTCTTCAGTGCCAACATTACTATCATACTATGTTATGTTATGAGCATCATAGCATGAATATTGCAGGATGATGCAGGCTGTCACCAATCACCAGCATGCATCCAATTAGAAAAAAAAAAAACTCTGATAAAAGGAAGCAAGGGGCACCAAAACAGGTCATTTTGACCACAAACCAACTTAACAAAGCATGCATGGGTATTACTATCTAATTTACTGGTTGCTTCTGGCTGATTTTCCAAAATGGGCTAATAAATAAGAGGTATTCTTCAGTTCCAAAAACCAGAAATGTTCTATAGTTTTGCCAACTTGGCACTGGTGTGCCACAGTGCCAGCCTGCCAGGTGTGGAATATAATTATATACCTATCTATAAATCTACAGTTAGAGTAGCAGCTAGAGGCCCTACAGCTTCCTGGCCATTTTTGGAGCCCATAGCAGCTAGAGCATAGAGGCCTACAATACCTACATTCCCCCTAGATAAATTTCTCCATACTCATATAGTCATACAGTGATTACAGTCATACTCGTACTCCTATCTAATTGTTAACAAAACTGTCCAATTAGGTTACAGGACTCAGGAGATTGCAAATGAATACAAAAATTTTTCACTTTTGCTCTGCAAAATTTTATTCATAAGTAGGAAAATTTCAAACTAGGTTTACCTTTCAGCAGTACTGTACTATAGTACTTCATTTATGCAAGTTTGATTAAAAACCTGTGGCCAACAAATGTCTTTTATCAATATTATCGTTTGTCTTCTGACTCTTCTCAATGAGTCAAACAAAATTTCTTGCTGGCATTGGCAGATTACTACATAAGTACATAGATAATAGATATTACCATTTACCATCAAAAAGCAGCCTAAGCAGGTAACCAAACAACATTTCTATGAAATATGACATAATGATGTGGATAGGCTAGTCACTGGATACAGTTAGCCTACTGAGTTAGTTTGAACTTTAAAATCAAAATTTAGAATTACTCTGAAAACAATTTCTGCGTCCAGACGAATCCGGTAGTTTGTAATTGGATGACTGGAGGCTTACTCTTGATAATGATTAATGAGAGCCTCAGGATCAAGCCCTTAGCTATCGGTATTAGACGTCTTATCATTCTTATGGTCTATTAGGCTATTACTTAAGTCTTAAGCCGCCACCATCGCACAGTGAAATGATACAAGCTAGGGGACCAAAGAACCATATGCGGCAGTTGTAGGCTTTTAGTCTCACGAGACCTTCTTCTTCTTCTTTGCAGGGTGTCCCCTTGGAGTGGACTTAAAGCCGCAGGTCTGCCAGATGGATGACCGTTGGGCCTGAGAGCTTATAGCTTGTGGTTTTCAGCTTCTTTGTAAGTTTGTATATGAAATTAATTGCTGCCGTCTTGTGAGGTTGGCTGATGTAAGTTCAGTACAGGATTTGGTAGAAGTTTACAGGGAACATATATTAGTAAATGAAATGAGTTACTGCTAATGTAATTTAGATAAGTAAGGGCTGCTAATATAACAACCTTCATTAAACAAAAAAATAATAATAATAGAAATATATACATAATTATAATAATATTGAAAAAAAACCTAGATCAGTGGTTCCCAAAGTGGGCGATATTGCCCCCCTATGGGTGATGGAAAGATTTTGAGGGGCAGTAAGGAAGAAAAGGGCAATAGGGGGGCGACAGGGGGGCAGCAGTCTGAAGTTGAAGTCAGAAGTTCAAACGTTTGTTTGACGATTTGTACACAACACGTGCAGCACATCATGACTCCCAGAGATGTTTTTTTTTACCCAGGTTTGTTTTTTTAACTTCACCTGGTTTAACGTCTTGGACAAATTTACGGTCGGACTTGTGGCCGGTCTCACGTCCAATTAATTACTAAATTCAATGATCATGGAATATCTCTCAAACTAATGAACTTAACTCAATGAAATTTGGTACACTTATTCATTAGGACCTAACGGTAATGTTTGAATTTTGCCTTCATTTGTTTTTGCCATGCTTAAATGGCAATACGGGCCGAAATTCAAAGTGATGAAGGAATTTCTTCCAAACTACTGCACACACTCAAACAAAATTATGAATTTACAACCCTAACTACCCAACAATAATGTTTAGCTGGTAAAAATTTTTTTGATTGTGCCTTCGTTCGCGAGTTTTCTTTTATTTCACCTTCATTCATGATTTAAAGAGCAATACGTGCTTAAATTCGCAGTAAGCAAGAAATTTATTCCAAACTACTTAACAGAATTTGAACAAAACTTAGTATTTAAATACCTAACCTCAGCAACGGTGATGTTTAGCTCGTTACAATTTTTTTCAATTTTGCCTTCGTTTGCAAGTTACACGGCTATGCGTAAACGGCTCTTGGTTAAAACGGCCGGTAAAAAGCCGGTCATTTCTCCTATATCTGTATAAATGGCAAACAAAAGCAAAATAGAAAAATTTTGACAAGCTAAACATCACCGTTGGGAGGTTAGGTATTTATATACCGTACAAAGTTTTGTTTAAATCTGTTTGGTAGGTTAGAAGAAATTTTTTGATCACCATGAATTTAAGCGACAAATTACCAGGCGATACAGGCCAAATATAAGGAAGTGTGAAATCAAAAATGACAGTGAAATGAAAAAAAATTGCAAATGAAGGTAAATCAAAAATGTTTTAAATCTAAAAAATCACTGTTTGGTAGTTAGGACTTAGGAATGTATATTTAAAATTTTGTTCAAATCTGTTCAGTAATTTTGAAGAATTTCTTTGATCACTAGCTGCGAATTTCAGCCTGACAGCCTGTATTGCAATATAACTCGCGAGTGATCGGAGTGAAGGTAAAATTAAAAAAAATTTCACGTGCTAAACATCACCGTTAGGATCTAATGAGTACCTACATGTTCCAAGTTTCATTGAGCTGCGTTCATTAGTTAAGTTTGGGAGATATTACTTGATATTGATAATTGAATTTGGCAATTGGTCCTGAGACCGGCCACGAGTGTGGCCATAAATTTGCCCAAGATGTCGTAGGTTTCTAGTGCTGAAACAGTTAAAACAGCAGAAAAACATATTGGTTCACTAAATGGGGTTCTATTTGTATTGTGAAATACACAATTGTGTTTAACCTTCATTTTTTTTAAATTGCAGCATACTAAATTTCAAGAGAGAGGTGTACCTATATTTTTATATGTGTCTGTGGGGGGCGCTAGCAATTCACTAGGGAGCCAAAGGGGGCGCCAGCCTGAAAAAGTTTGGGAACCACTGACATGCCCATAGAATAAGTGTGTCCCATGTCCCAGTAAATGATCTACTTGCTAGTTGCTAAATTGAAACATATACTGTAGCTATCAGCAGTTGCCATGCATTAACAATTCTATCATGCTTGCATATATACAGCATTTCACGGCACTCATCTAAAGACTCACGAGACCGCAGAGTCCATTGCCACTATGTTTAAACTCCATGGTCATGAAGCTTAATGATGGTTGCGAACTTGCGGGTTGCAAGGTGAAGGAGTCGCACGTTGACCGCTTGTAACACCCTGAGGCTGGACTCAGCATTAGTTGCCCGAAGGCCATATCCCGCGCTCGACCGACAATTGAAGCTTGATGGCCTGCTCTACATCACGAACTTAATCATGTGGTGTCAAATGCGCTATAGGCCATGGCCCATGGGCCTATTACTTCCGTGCCGACACTTCTATTCATACGATATATCAACTAAGTGCAGAGCGGCCTGACTAATCCGTACCTACTGAATAGATCAGTGCAAGTGATCGTTGAAGTGAGCATTGAGCACCTGGGATCGGTGAGTAAAGTATTTTTACTTCGCCAACGTAACGGCCCTTGCAGTCTTGCACGCTAGGGGATCTTTTTTATATAATTGGTTTTAAGACTTGTGGGCTAGGGGATCAGTATCATCCAATACCAGTGACGTCACTAGGACTATTTTAAGGGGACTGTAGTGACTAGATAATATTATAGTGTATAATCTCTAAGCGGAAAGATATCATAATTTCTTTGAGATTATTAGTTGTTAAGCTGTTCCTTGTCGCATAGTTAATGTCGTAAATACGACGATACTTGTGAACTTCGACCGATAACTTCACAAATAACTAAGATAAATAATCATCGCCAGTATATTATTGCCAATAATCATTGCTCTTCGTAAGCCAGTTAATCATGGCCAGTTCAGAACTATAAAATGTTCCGATGATTGTACAATAGTTTAAGTCCTAATAATGTGAATNTTGATATCTAACGATGGCAACATCTTGAAAGACTTCCGGATTTTCCCGGAGGCCTATTCCGAGCCCTTCATTCTTGCCCTGACGCCAACACGCGAGGTTCTCCGCCGTGCCTCTTCTTAGTAGTTCTTTATATGTGTTGTGATATCTATAAACTGGGTAAGTAGATATCGATAATGGGGATTATGGTTATTATGTCGAAATAGGAAGTTAAATGTGAACTGTGGTAAATACTAGGTTGTGAAGTTTTAAGGAAATCCTCCCCAGAGAATTTCAGTTCCCCACAGCATGGTTCCATATTTGTTCCAGCCTAAGGGCTAGAGTACTTCCATTTTCATTTTTGATTTTCAAACCTAACTTAATTATGATTTAATTGTAAACTTAATTTTACCCCAATTAGATTCAGATTAGTAGTAAATTCCTTTTGCTCAGTTGATGTGTTGCCAGATGAGTCAAAGTTTGAGGAATATAATACAAATGGTATTAATTGTATTGTCACTGTTGATAACAAGTTCAGGATATGATAATAGGATGAATTTTATTAAACTTAAATGTCTATTGTTGAGGAATTGAATTGATTGAGCTGTTGCAAGAAGAATTTGTATATAATAGAATGAACTGTACTTTAGACCGTGATTTAGGAATTTAAATAATAGGATTAAATTAATTAAAATATGTCATATC